GCTTTAAGGTTGTTGAATTCAAAAAGAATAAACCGAATGCGGGGTGTCCCCCATCACATTGGACGGATCAAAAGCTTTAAATTGGAATTTGAAAAAAAAATCAATTTTAAAGTTTTTCAGGGTATAGCAATTTGTGTGTCGAAAAGCTTTGAGATATTTTAATATGTAACGATTCTCAATATATTAAATATTCAGTTTTAACCCTCACATTCTATTAGAGTAAAATTAATTTTACATTAAAAGGAATTGAGTTTTTGCCACAAACTCTGATTTTATAATTTTAATATCGTTGCAACCCAATGTCGTAGACCTTTAATATTTCAAACTATGAATTCTGTTAGATCAAATAATGTAAGTTTGAAATATTAACGGTTTACATTATAAGGTTGCAAAGATATAGGTTTTACAAAAGCTGAATTTGTGGCAAAGACTAAATTCCTTTGACATGTTTTCTATCATAACTCCATTTTTCTGAAATGCTTTGGAGAAGAAAAAAAGGTTTAAATTTTTAACATTCAATCGTTAAGTTATTAGGTTACAAAGTCGTGCCAGTAATTTTGCATAAATTTTACCTTTTTCTCACGTCTAGATTTTAGTGACATGGTTTTATTAGAAACATATTTGATGTAAATACCTTCTTAATTTTTTTATCTTTCCATTGATTAACAGTGAGAGATAAAAAGTTTGTTCTTGAAGTAGGCTCTCATTAAGCCTTGGATGAGGATAATTTAATTTGAAAACTTGTTATCTAACATTTGAAAACTTGTTAGCAAACATTTGAAAACTTGTTATCAAACATTTGAAAACTGGTTATCAAAGATTTGAAAACTTGTTATCAAACATTTGAAAACTTGTTAGCAAACATTTGAAAACTTGTTAGCAAACATTTGAAAACTTGTTTTTAAACATTTGAAAACTTGTTATCAAACATTTGAAAACTGGTTATCAAAGATTTGAAAACTTGTTATCAAACATTTGAAAACTTGTTATCAAACATTTGAAAACTTGTTATCAAACATTTGAAAACTTGTTAGCAAACATTTGAAAACCTCTGAAATTTTTCATTTTGTATGTATACTAACACTTAGAATATCAAAAAACTATGCTTTAAATTTATATTGAAAAGTAATTATTATGGAATGAAGTTTTTTATTAAAAACTCAAATTTTGCGAAACCTTCGATATTTCAAACTTTAATTTTTTTATCAAACAGAATTCATAGTTTGAAACATCTTTAGTATACGACAGATATATTATATATCTAATTTACATCTATTAGTATTTATATGAGTTAATATGATGTATAATAAACATCTACTAGTCTATATATGAGTAAATACAGATATATTATATATATCTACGATACATCTATTAGTCTTTTTATAAGTATATACAGAAATATTATATATCTAATGCACATTTACTGATCTATATATGAAATATAATATATCCAATATATATCTACTAGTTTATATGTGACTATATACAGAAATATTGCATATCTTATATGCATCTAATAATCTATATGTGAGCATATACAGAAATATAATGTATCTAATATACATCTTTTAGTATATATGTGAGTATATACAGAAACATATATCTAATATACATCTACTACCAAACATCTACTAGTCTATATGTAAGTAAATAAAGAAATATCGTATATCTGATATACATCTACTAGTCTAGATGTAAGTACATACAGAAATATCGTATATCTTATATACATCTATTAGTCTATATATGAGTAGATATATACAGAAATGGGGCTCATCTGTTATTGGGTAAATTGCGTAAAGAGAGACAGGTTCTAACTTATCTTTTTCTGAGTTCTTAGGACTATATATTCCCCCTCCCCTCCCCAGCACCATTCATAAACATTTTCTCTTGTATCCTGTATTCATGGCTGACAACGATCTGTAAAGTATCTTGTATTCATGGCTGAAAAAGATCTGTAAAGTATCTTGTATTTAGGCTGACAACGATCTGTAAAGTATCTTGTATTCATGGCTGACAACGATCTGTAAAGTATCTTGTATTCATGGCTGACAACGATCTGTAAAGTATCTTGTATTTAGGCTGACAACGATCTGTAAAGTATCTTGTATTTAGGCTGACAACGATCTGTAAAGTATCTTGTATTCATGGCTGACAACGATCTGTAAAGTATCTTATTTAGGCTGACAACGATCTGTAAAGTATCTTGTATTTGGACTGACAACGATCTGTAAAGTATCCTGTATTTAGGCTGACAATGATCTGCAAAGTAACTTGTATTCATGGCTGACAACGATCTGTAAAGTATCTTGTATTTAGGCTGACAACGATCTGTAAAGTATCTTATATTTAGGGTGACAACAATCTGTAAAGTATCTTGTATTTAGGCTGACAACGATCTGAGAAAGTTCCTTGCAAGCAGAAAATCCAAGGCAAGCATCATGATAAATGATTATGCAGAGTTAACATAGAAGTGCAAGATCTCAGGAAAAAATAAATTAGAATCCTTTCAAAAGATCCTTAAATAAAAAAATTTGAATTCCAAACTTACTGTAAAAACTTTTGTTTGAACTTAAAGAAACTTATGAAGAGTTTAAATTGATTTAAATCTTCAACGTAAATTATATTTTAGTTAATTCTTCTTGGAAAAGATTCAGTTTTCAGTGTTCAAAGTATGTTGCATACGTGTACACTGTACAGGGGTCCAGGAAACATGACAGTAGAAAGACGACTTTCAGGTTGTCTTTGATCTTTGAAATAATTTGCGCCTTTCATTTCTGAAACTCATTTTACATGCTATAATTCTTTTCATAATAATTACAACATTTCCCTTAGGTCTGACTTTTCCAAAATTTGGTCTACCTTTTTGGAGCTTTCAAAATTACCGGAAATATTAAGAATTTCGTTACGATTTCAATTTATTTGAAATAAAATCAAAATTTTGAAATTCTAATTTTGAAAGCAAAAAAAGGTGTATTTTGCAATTTTCAATTTGTCTGTCAACTGGCAATTTTGTCTGTCAACTGGCATATTTTGTCTGTCAACTGGCAATTTTGTCTGTCAACTGGCATATTTTGTCTGTCAACTGGCATATTTTGTCTGTCAATTGGCATATTTTGTCTGTCAACTGGCATATTTTGTCTGTCAACAGGTATATTTTGTCTGTCTACTTGCATATTTTGTCTGTCAACTGGCATATTTTGTCTGTCAACTGGCATATTTTGTTGGCCCCCTGCAGTACATAAATGCAGGAATTCTCAAATATGGATCTAGCGGATAAATGAATATATGAATACAAGAAAAGAAAACAGTAAAATAATGAAACGTAAACAAAAGATAAAAAACATTAAAGAAAAAACAGAAAATCAAGAAACCTAGAATCGTGTAGAATATTAACAATGCAAACAAAGAACGAAGAATAAAAACTTTAAAAATGGATGTAAAAACAATTGTTGAAAGGGGTACAGGAGGTACAAAAAACATCAGAATAGATGAAGGAATAGTTAAAAAACCAGAATAAAGAAACAAAGAATGTATAAAAGAACAAAGTGAAAATGAAATCAAAAGAAAACAGAAAGTAAAAGAGAAAAATGTTAAAGATTTAAAGAAAAAAGAAAGTTAAATAGTGAAACGTGAAAAAAATAAAAAGAGTTAGAAAAGAATGCAAATGGAATAAAGAAATGTGAAGGAAGAATAGTGAGAGAAAATAAAAAAGCAAATAAAATTTAAAAAATAGAAAAGAGAATGTTAAAAGAATGTTCTGTAGAAGAATAAAGATATATAAAGGGTTTAATGAAAGTCAGGCTGAGTAACGATAGAACAGACTATTCCAGCCTTTTAATCCTATCTCTNGTACATCTTTCTTATCTAACTATCTATAGTACATCTTTCTTATCTATATTCTATACTGAGTTAACATTTTCTCTGGAATTTATTGGAAAGCTTTTATATTTCTGTTTTTTCAAGGTGTAGTTTTTCTTTTTCATGTCTCATATTTTTGTAACATCCACTTCTTTAAGTTTAAGTTGTAAATCAAAATGTTGAAAATTTTTTCCCAGATGTGTCAGACATATCTGATGAAAAGAGCTATGGAATGTATGATTTGATTTGATTTATTTTTAGATTGCTCCGACTTAAAAAAGATTACTTTATGAACAACTGAAATGAAATGTGGAAAATCGAAAATTTGACAAATCCGGGAAATCGATTTACGACTTTTTCGTGAACCACTTGTAAGAGATTTTGGAAAAAACGATCGTTTTTACTGAACGAACGATTTTTTTCCAACAAACTTTCTATAAAAGCTATCGTTTTTTAATGATAGAGCGATTGTATTAAACGAACAATTTTACTGAACGATCGTTCAGTCAGAAAACTAGAAAAATAGATGGAGAATGATCAATAATTTTGAGAACGAACAAAATACTTTTTTTTGGAACAATTGAAAAAAACCGAACGAAAGGGGGCGTTCTGCACGATTAACGTTAGAAATGAAAAACAAATGCGCCCGTTTTTAATCATTAGGACTGTGTCGTTAAAAACAACAGTTTTTGAAAATTGATGGAAAATTCCGTTCACGAACGTACGACGAGACCCTTTTCAAAAAATATTTAATTTTTAAAATATTAAAAACCTTTCAACAGATGGTTATAGTAAGACTGGAGAAATTTCCGTTTATTCTCTAAAGGTTGTAACAAAAAAAAATCGGAAAAATTCCGCCAAAAAACGGAAAAAATTAGACATAATTTAAAGAGTACCATTCCCAATTCACAACGGTACCCTTTAACCCAAAATCTGCTCTACATTTTTTCTTAGAATTAAAGGATTTGCTTTCCTTCTACTTTTTCAATCCTTATATATTTGCAGCAATAAATTACCTGTGCCATTTCAAACTATGAATGTTCGAAATATCAAAGATTTACAGATGTTGCATTAATGGATTTCAAAATTAAATTTGTATAATCTCTAAAACTGTGTATCATGATGGCTGATTAAACTACAGGCCGTGGAAGATTTAGAATCAAGTCCTAGTGGGTCAACACACGATATCAGACACTTAAATCATTCAATTATTCACAGCAGGTAGAACTATACATTTCAGTCAGAACTTTCAACACGCTTTTTAATTCTCAAGCAGCAGATTTCCTAGGAGGAAAAGAGGCAACACCCCCCCCCCCCCCAAAAAAAAATCCAAAATATTTGGTATTTTCTCAGAATAGATTGTTAATAAATTTAATAAATAAATTAAATGTTCTTTAATAAATGTACTTCTTAAATTTAATTCACGGGAAAATAGACATTTGAAATGTTGCCATTTAGAAAAATTGGTAATTAAGAAAATGCTGTTGGGAAAGTTATTTATTCTAAATTGATTATTTCTTTTTCTGAAAAGAAAACTCTTCTAAAATTGTTTTGATGATCCTTTGATGGATTGATATTGAAACGTTTCTCATGTTTTAGAATTTATGGTTCAGTGGAAGCCTTGGAGGGAGAGCAGAGAGTTCAGAGAAATAGAAGGTTTAGAATAGAAACATGTGATCATCCAGAGGTATTATTGATATATTGTTTGCAAACAATAGTCACTAGTCTCTAGTCTCTAGTCTCTAGTCTCTAATCTCTAGTCTCTAGTCTCTAGTCTCTAGTCTCTAGTCTCTAGTCTCTAGTCTCTAGTATCTAGTCTCTAATCTCTAGTCTCTAGTCTCTAGTCTCTATTCTCTAGTCTCTAGTCTCTAAGTCTCTAATCTCTAGTCTCTAGTCTCTAGTCTCTAATCTCTAGTCTCTAGTCTCTAGTCTCTAGTCTCTAGTCTCTAGTCTCTAGTCTCTAGTATCTAGTCTCTAATCTCTAGTCTCTAGTCTCTAGTCTCTATTCTCTAGTCTCTAGTCTCTCTAGTCTCTAGTCTCTAGTCTCTAGTCTCTAGTCTTTAGTCTCTTGATTCTAATCGTTTGTTTTCCTGAGAAAATAAAATTTTCTGAAAGTTTCAAAATATTGGAAAGAAATTCAATTTTAATAAAAATATCCAAATTCTGAGAGTGTTGAGTATTGACAACTTAAAGAAAAATGTTATAAAATATGAGAATATTTGAAAGAATAAAAGAAGCTAGGACGCATATCCTTTACATATTCAAATAAAAGAAGGGATTGTAAAGAAGCAATTTCAAGTTTCTTTTTTTGCAATGGTTTTTAAACATAGAATATCCTTGTTTTCCTTTGATGATTTCTAATTGAGATTTCCCTATAAAAATTTTGATTTTGAGCAGAGACAAGGAAGGAAGGACAAGTTGATAGAATTCTTCTATTTCGGGCATGCACAGTTAACAGTCCTTTTAGAGATCCCTTGATGTTTAAAATTTTACAAAAATTAACATTTTGAACGGATAAAGATTCCTCTTTTCAATATCTTCAGATCTTCTTTGTTTTTAGAAGAAATAAACATTTTTGTTTTATTATTTTTACCCCAAGGAGTGTCCGGATATTCCTCCTACTCCAGTTCTTGAGAACCCGGACCACAGCACTAAATGGTAAATATATTGTTACTGTCGTTGATTAGTATTGTTACTGTCGTTGATTAGTATTGTTACTGTCGTTGATTAATATTGTTACTGTCGTTGATAAGTACAGTCACTGTAGCTTATTTATATTTTACAATCGTTGATTTAATATTGTTACTGTCAATGATTAATATTGTTATTGTCGTTGATTAATATTGTTATTGTCGTTGATTATTATTGTTATGTTGTTGATCAATATTGTTACTGTCGTTGATTAATATTGTTACTGTCGTTGATTGATATTGTTACTGTCGTTGATTATTATTGTTATGTCGTTGATCAATATTGTTAATGTCGTTGATTAATATTGTTACTGTCGTTGATTGATATTGTTACTGTCGTTGACCAAATGGTTACTGTCGTTAATCAATATTGTTACTGTCGTTGGTTATTATTGTTACTATCGTTGATAAATATTGTTACTGTCGTTGATTAATATTGTTACTGACGTTGATTATTATTGTTACTGTCGTTGATTAATATTGTTACTGCCGTTAATTAATATTGTTACTGTCGTTAATTAATATTGTTACTGTCGTTGATTAATATTGCTACTGTCGTTGATTAATATTGTTACTGTCGTTGATCAAATGGTTACTGTCGTAAAACTCTGCATCCACTGTCAATTTTTATTTTCTTATCCCGGAGCTGTCGTTGACCAAAATAAATCTTGTTTTTGACATTCCATCCCTCTGATATTTTCTTTGCACCTGCCCCCCCCCCTTCACCGCCCCCTAGCTTTTTCTATGTGTGATATAAAATTGTTGAGAGAAAGATTTGTGGTATATTTAATTGTATATATGACCTATACAATACATACCACGTAGAACTAACTACAACAAAGTAACGACATTCGAAATATTTACGGAATATTTTTATTTCTAAATTCGTCGAAAATGATGTAAATTACATTAAATACTTTAATGTTTCAAATATGTAGTTTAATATATTGGTCTTTTTTAACTTGTCATACTTTTTTGTCGGTTAAAATTCGTTATTCAAGGTTATCTAGCCAGCATTTGAAAGTTCCAAGTTTTTGAGAAATTTGCAACATTTTTGCAAAACTTTGAATTCCACTTCAACTTTCCACTAACATCAAAGGAGTTGAATTTGTGTAATATTTGTCTTATTTTAATATTCATCATATCTACAGGCTGAGTAAAAAACGGGATCTACACAAGTTTTATACATCATTCTACATCATAATACATCAGGGTTTTTTTTTGTAAAAAAACTATTGAATCCACAATTTGAACAAAATCTTTTGATGTATGAAAGAGACATATAAAAAATCCACGAAAAATAGGCGGAAAAGCGCAACTAGCTACACCGTACTCGTCGATAATGCTGAATAATTTCAAAGGTTCTCGTATTTTAGGTATTATAAATATTTCCTGGGAAAACTGCATAGGAACTATATTGGACAAGATTCTAACAAGAATATATTTATTCTCTCAATATTAGAGGTAAATACAGGGTTACCAAGTAAACATGAGACGTTAAAGGAACTGTCAGCGTAATTTCAAGTGACCCTCCATGCAAAGAAGTCAATACCCGATTTACAACGGTACTCTTAAAACCTTTGTGTGTTTGTATAGTACAGAGATATGTGTGTGTTAACTTATTGAAACCCGCTCGCTGTGTTGAGTTCAGACTGCACGCAGCGAACACTATTCAGGGTAAGCAGCAGAATTCAAGGCAACCAGGTTTCGATAAGTTTACAAACACATATCTCTGTACTCGACTAACACACAAAACATTTAAGAAAGAGGGCTGAATAAATGATGTGCAGTCGTCTCTGAAGTCTTATATTTTTTATATAACACTATATAATAGGCTGGTTGCTAGTATTTCATGGAATTTTAAACTTCAAACTTTACGTAGATATAAGATATTTAATCTATTCTAATGAATTGAATAATTCTAAATCTGCGAAATTATATTTTTACGTGTTTGCAGAAAACTTGAATGTTGTTTAAATCAATCAAGTAAGAAATATCACTGTTTATTAGGGTGTCTCAAAAAACATGAATTCCAAAGTTTTAATTTGAAGTTTTTTGGTAATTGCTAAACTTACAGTAGATGTAAGATAAGAAACACTGAAAATTACACGAAATTCACGAAAAATCAAATTTTCAAATTTTACATGTACATAAGTTAGTGTCTGAGACTTTTTGTTACTATATTTTGACTAAGGAAACCTAGGAGAATGGAAAAACCTGCCTACAGTTACACCCTACTGTTTATTATATTGGTATTTATTTTGTGTTAAAATTGTGTTTTCTTGACATAAAGTCTGAACATTCTAACCAACTGCAGTACGATTAAAGGGCTGAACAATCTAACCAACTGCAGTACGATTAAAGGGCTGAACATTCTAACCAACTGCAGTACGATTAAAGGGCTGAACAATCTAACCAACTGCAGTACAATTTGTATTCCTATGCCATCAGATTCTATAGGAAATAAATACATTCTCTGGAAAAAAGATTTCTTTCTGTTTTATAGTTTAACAAAACAAAGTTTCAACCTTTCTCCTTAGTTATAGTACATCTTTCTTATCTAACTATCTATAGTACATCTTTCTTATCTAACTATCTGTAGTACATCTTTCTGATCTAACTATCTATAGTACATCTTTCTTATCTAACTATCTATAGTGCATCTTTCTTATCTAACTATCTGTAGTACATCTTTCTTATCTATCTTTCTATCTATCTATCTATCTAATATATCTATCTGTAGTACATCTTTCTTATCTATCTATCTATCTATCTATCTATCTATTTATCTATCTATCTATCTATCTATCTTTTTATCTATCTATCTATCTATCTATCTTTATATCTATCTATCTATATATCTATCTATCTATTTATCTATATATCTTTCTATCTATTTATCTAAATATCTTCATGAACTTAAACTCCTCATTTTACATTTATCATTAAATTTCAAATCTTTATTTTCACCAAGTTTTCATGAAACTTTGAGAGAGTAAACACAGAAACTAATCTGACACAAAATTATTAAAAACAAAAATTTATCTCAGCTTGACCAGTTTTCTGAGATAGAGGCCGAATTTAATGAATTTGAGCTTCGTCGCTAAACTACCTACTGCAATTGCTACGGTTCAAATTTAAACCATACTTATACAAAGCTAAAGATTCTGGAAGGATTTAAATCGGTGATTTAAATTTAAACCGTAGGTAGACAGATCAGTGATCACGCCAATTCATTAAATTCGGTTTTCTATTCACTATGGTATGCCAATGTCTAAGTTTGAAAAACAAATGCATAGAATTAATAAATATAAGTAAATCTAATTAGATACCCTGTATTCTGCAGGTAATGATCATAATTTACTTCATGTTGAATATTAAAGTAAATATATCTCATTTATAATTAATTTAATATAAATGAGAAACATGCAATTTTGCCAAATGATCCATACTTTACGTTCTTATAAACATTATTCATGTATGTCATTGAAAACAATTAGTTCTGCAAAAACAGAATTATTATTTTCATTATTTTCAAACCCAACCTTGCCTCTCTCTTTAGTCATTTTATAAAGTAAACCAACAATTAAAAATAATCAATTTTCAAAGATTCTTCAATTATTAAATTCTGAAAAGTATTTGAATTCCTGAAGTTTTATTTTAAACCTTCTTCACCCATCTTTTAAAGTTTATAAAATTTGATTACAACGAAAATGAAACATAAAAACATTTAAAAAACAATAAACAAATAAATTGAATCTTACAAACCAATACTTAGAAAGGCTCAGTAAACTAAACCGTACAAATAAACTTTACGATATTACAATTTACAACAAAATGATATTAAATGGAAATCATTTATTTGTATCGAATTTTTCGCCATCAAACTTAGCGTTATTTTCCCAAACTACTATAAACTCACATGTATGAATTGTTTAAAAATAGTCCAGTTATTTTTTTGTTGTTGAATGGATAAACTTTCTTTTCACTCTACACCGACCAAGGAGTGTGAAATATAAGGGAGATAAAAACGACGCGGTCCGCCCTACCATATGATTATACATGCTTTGTAGACGGTACTTCATTTGAATGAGAAATATTTGTCTGATGTACAATTACCGCGTACATGTATTAAGTTCAGAATAGGTTATTATATACATCAAAAAAGGGAAAAAATAGACGTTTCTATCTCCCATATATTCAATGCTCCTTAACACCGACAATATATAAGATCTTTGTTTTAGGAGAAAAGTTTTGGAACGTCTCAGTACAGAGCAGTTTTATGGACTAGCCAGGGACCTAAAAGAGTCCATTTTAGGGGCACGGGAAACAATATAACTCTAAAACAGGTAGTTCATTTTTCAGGGCTTTAAAGGAACTGTTTGCGTAAATTTAAGAGGCAATAAATTTAATATGTTATTAGATCAATTCACAACATTACTCTTTATTTTTTTTTCCTGTAAAAAAAATTAAAGAAACAACTTTGTTATTCTCTCTTAAATTTGATCATCTATAAAAGTGATTTGTGCATTTATGAACCAAAACAGTGAAGGAAATCGACCGAATTGATATCTTATGAAAGAAAGAAAAACTGAGATAAATGTGAATCGGGCATGTGACTCTTTAAATGTATCATTTACTCTCAGACAAATTAGAATCAATGGAAATTTAAACCCCCGAGGGATTCAATGATAAACCCGAGGGCGAGAGTAAATAACATTCCTTTGTAAAAAATAACAAAGGAATTTTATTATTTTAAAAGGGGCGGGATTAAATGAAAATTGTTGCATGCCAAAAAACCAGCTTTTTATAAAGGAATGGGGATTTACTTAAAATGACAATATACTTTGGGAATCGAGATGGATACATCGTTATCAGCAATGTGAAGACGATATTGTTAAAAACCTATTATGGTCTAGACAGAAAATAAGGCTAAGACCGATTCTGGGCTTTTCGGCTTTCTTCTTGAATAAAAATACAGAAGATCACTGTTTAAAAAAATAGTTCTATGTGATCAGCGGTACCTGGTGCTCATAAAACTTTGGAAATAGAAAGACGACATTTCAATAATCTAATGCAAGTTTTGGATAGGACGGAATCATATTTTCGAACTTCTATTACACAGTTTTACGGGTCCCCCTGTAAAACCTTTATAAGCCTGGTATGTATATATTGACTGCATAAACTCCATATTTCTCATGAATATCAACAACAGGGTGTCCCTATAAACATGACTGTTGGTGAATAGTTTCAAATTTATTCTTCCATAATTTATTAAATTGTTTTATGTCCAATGAAAATCATAAAATATGTCATATGACAGTAAAATGTATTTCAGTAAAAATTTATTTTAACGAATTAAAAACTAAATAAAAATTCGTTCAATATCTAATACAGTATTATTACATATGAAAGAAAAATGAATCCAGGCAACTACTTATATTATTAATATTCGACGAGTCGGTTTTTCTTACGATTTATTATTATTTACAACAGTACTAAACTAAAGGAAAATACTATACGAATAATTATTATGAATTGAAGATGTTTCAGAGTGATGGGGAATCTTCAAGGGAACCTCTATAGTCAAGGGAGCTGGTCTTCAACTGATTGTTTTCCCCAGATTTCGCTCCACCCTGGGCTCTCATTTAACCCTAGTTCCCCGGGAGCTGGCCAGCTAGCTCACCAGCCCCCGTGCCTCTGGAATAACGGAACTTTCAGCTTGGCTTGGGTTATTTATAGAATTCACATGCAAACTCAAATAAATCCGTTTTTCTTACGATTTATTATTATTTACAAAGATACAAAAACTATAGGAAAATACTATACGAATCAAATTGCATGAATTGAGATCAGTTCAGAGTGATAGGAGATCTTCAATGGAACCTATTAACTAGGGAGCTGGTCTTCAACTGCCATTTTTCCCCGAGTTTCACTCCACCCTTGCCTAGAGCTTAACCCTAGTTCCCCGGGAGCTGGCCGGCTATCCCACCAGCGCCCGAGCCTCTGGAATAACGGAACAATTGGCGTGGCTTCGGTTATCGGCGTGGCTTGGGTTATTTATAGAATTCACGTGCAAACTCAAATAAATCCGTTAGGATTCAAAATAGGATTCAAAAGTCCAACCAAAGGGTAAAAGGGGGGGGGCATGATACCCCTAGGTAGCTATGATCTCGGCGATCTAAAAAATCCTTGAATCGCTGATCGTAAAAGATCAACAAAATCACACATTGTTACATCCCCACCTTGATCTTTTATGATTAGCGATCATGTCGATCACTTTCTCAGGATAAGATGAAACTATTGCACTGTTGAAGCGTCTTTTATCCATCCTTCTCCAGGGTGTGGGGTTAGTGGAGAGCTACCCGTGCTCTACTCTCAAGTTGTTATAGCCAGTTTTGCTTAGTCGGAATAATGTCTTTACTACCCAGCAAGTGAAGGTAAGAGCTACAATTGCTCCGGCCC